AACTCACCGTCGCTCTAAGACATGACGAGTCGATCACAGAACAGCCTCCACACATGAGCCGGTGTCCTTAATTAAAGGTTTTTAACTCACCGTCGCTCTAGACATGACTAGTCGATCACAGGACAGCCTCCACACATGAGCCGGCGTCCTTAATTAAAGGTTTTTAAACTCACCGTCGCTCTAGACATGACGAGTCGATCACAGAACAGCCTCCACATGAGCCGGTGTCCTTAAATAAAGGTTTTTTAAACTCACCGTCGCTCTAGACATGACGGGTCGATCACGGCACAACGGTAAGCGAAAATAACTCATTACCAACTAGAACTGCATGATCCTCACTCAAGCGGTGTCAACTCGCACTCGTGGGATGGAACAGCCTCCACATGAACCGGTGTCCTTAAATAGGGTTTTTAATTCACCGCCGCTCTTGACATGACGAGTCGAACACTAAGATGACAGCCTCCATCCAACGGTGCTGCGTTGATGCTGGCGCACACAGCTGCCGGCGCTAACCAGCTCACATCGGTATAAATGTGGTCCGCAGGCTGGTCCGGGTGGGGGTCCTTCTCTCTCAGCTTTCGGCAGCTCACCGCAGCTTAAACGTGAAGCAGCCGAAGAACCCGGTAATGAGTCCCACCTCCCTCCAGCGCGCGCCCCTCCAGCGAGAGCGGCGCGCGTCCCTCCAGAGAACAACGTGTGCTCCCGCGGGGCTAAGCAGCCTTCACTCCAACAGCACGGTGTAAATGAAGTCACGCCCTCCGCCTTTCAACGTTCGCACAGCGACGTCAAACGCGCAGCTCACCGCGTCATCAGCTGTCACACGCTTCGCCTTCAGCTCAAGTCTCGCCCGGGGTCACACAGAAAACATTCCCGCGACGCATGACGGCGGTTGAGGGACGGACTGCTGACAGCCGTACAAAACATGACGCATCATTAACGCACGTTCATCCACGAACGTTACGTAGAGTGGCTAAACATGCTCGCCGTTTTTCAGATGGATGGACAAGGTTTTATGCAAATGGTACAAGTTACAGTTTGCAACCCGAACCCCTCCATTCAGAGGAGTTATATAAACGGTCCCGTCATCATCAGACTGATTCTCTTCCCTAAATGCAGAAATCCAAGTGTTTTCTGATAAAAGTAATCTACAGAGTTCCCCAAGGGAGAGAAAACACGAGGGTTTTACTCACGGATCGGAGGGGTGAGACCGTTCTTGGATCTGTTGTTTAACATCCAGAGAACGCATACCGATCATCCTAACACAGAGACGAGAGTTTTTGTTTTTACCTGGATGATCTGCTGCTCCTGTCAATTCAGACAGGAGGCGCTGATGCAGGATCAGGTGTTGACATCACACCTGTTAATCTGGGCTTCGCCATAAATTGGAAGGAAGCTCGATTTCCCGGCCCAGACATTTGTTTTCTGGAGTGGAATTAAATTCAACCACCATGAAAGCTCGTTTATCACATGAGACGTGAGGTGTTTTTGCACGTCTGCATGTGGATCCAGTAAAACAAACGACGGATGATCATTGTCTTTTCCTCTGTGGAAGCAGACCTCCGACTCTGGGGAAACACCTTGTTTTTCTATCAGAGGGAGTCCCCCTCAGCAGACCCACGTCATGGGTCAGTCTTCACGGACACGTTGCTGTCAGGCTGGGGGGGGGACATGCCTATCTCAAGCAGTAGGGGCGCTGTGGCCCCACTACACATCAGCCCACATCAATGTTTTGGAGTGTCGCACAGTACTGAATGTGATTCAACACCTTGCTCCTGTGCTACAGAATCAACACGTGTTGATTCACACAGACATCATGATGACTGCTGCGTACATAACCATCAGGGTGTGCGTTCAGCCCAGATGTTACACATTGTGCGAAAGCTACTGAGTTGGGTTCATCAAAACCTGCTTTTATTAGAGCGGTTTACATATCCGGTGTTCTGAACAGAGGGGCTGATGTGACGTCCAAGGGCGGCCCACGTTACGTGGACCGGATCCTCCATCCGGATCTGATGTTTTCAGACGCAGCAGAAGTTGGCAAAGCAGCTGTGGACCTGTTTGCGATGCGAGAAGAACGCTCAATGTCAACTACGGTTTTCCCTGAGCCCGCGAGACGATCCATCGCTGGGGGGGGACGCATTTGCTCACAGTCGGTGGCCCAAAACGCTTTTTACGCGTTTCTTTTTCCCCCACCTCCTCTGTTTTTTTACAGTCCATGAACCGAGTTCAAGAGGAGGGATTGACAGCTCTCCTGGTGGCTCCCGGCGTGTGAACGCACTATGGTTCCCAGGCCTGCAACGTCTGTTGTTGGGTCGCCGTGGAACTGTCATGGAGGAAGGATGCTCTCCTTCAGGCAGGAGGAGCGACCAAGAGTTACCCAGAAATAGGTCAACACCTGTGGGTCTGACCGCTGAGCGGTTCCACTTAGAGGATGGGTCTCCCTCAGGAGATAATGTGCACAATTCAAGATTCACGTGCTGCATCTACCACAGTTCTGTACACATCAAGGGGACGGCTTTTCAGCGATGGTGTACAGAGAAGGTTTAGAGACCACTTCATGCCTTTTAGGCGGCGTGTTGTTTTTCTACAACAGCTGATGGATAGGGAGTTGGCTTTCAGTACGCTTTAACGTACGATTGCAGCCATCTCTTCCTGCCACAAAGGGTTTGGAGACAGAACAGCTTTTATCACCCGCTGATGAAGCGGTTTCTAAAAGGTGTACAGAGATGTAGGCCTGTTTCACGCCCACTTGTTCCACAGTGGGTTTAACGCTGGTCCTGCGAGCCCTGATCAAAGCTTCAATTGAGCCTCTGGATCAGGTTTCATTTAAATTCTTGTCTCTTTTAACAGCCCTGTTGCTGGTTTTAACACCCGCTAAGAGGGTAAGTAATTATCTGCCCTCTCTGTTGCTTCGTCATGCCTTAGAATTAGGCTGACGGGCAGCTCAGCTGATTTAAGACCAACCCAGCTTTTATGCCTAAAACATCACGAGCTCTTTTAAATCAAGAGTGATATCGTTGGAGGGGTTTTTTCCCCCCCACAGATCAGAAGGGGAAGCATCTGTTCATCTTCTCTGCCCGGTGCAGGCGTTGACGTGTTACGTAACGCGCACAGCTGCAATGCGTTCAAATTCAACAATTGTTTGTGCATTATAGAGATGCTTCTGCAGGTCGCCGTTATCCATCCAGCGCTTGTCACACTGGCTGTGTGAGGCCTTTTTCTGAAGCCTACAGAGCATCAGATTTAGGGCCTCCTGTCAACCTCTAAGCACATTCGACCAGGGGTATCGCATCTTCGACTGCTCTGCATAATGGTATGTCAATGCAGGACATTTGCACTGCGGCTGCATGGTCAACACCCTGCTCATTTATTCGCTTTTACCTACGTGATGTAACGGCTCGTTCCATGACACATTCTGTCCTTAGTGCTCTAACAGAATGAATATTGTTGTTCTCATGGAACTCTGTTTAAGCTCACTTCTGTCTGCATGCATTACAGTGTGAGATGTTGTTATCAGTCACAGTCGTGTCTGTGATTTTGGTTTTATTGTCACTAATCAGTTCATGATTATTGTTACCAATCAGTTCATTTGATTATTTATCAATTCATGGACATTAATCTGTTTATACTGTTCAGCCATGAACCAGTTGGTTCATGCCCCCCTCCCCCCCTCTTTTCAACTTCCTCTTCCCGTTGAAAGTTTTTCCGGGGTATTCATGCTTGTCAGAACGCATAGTTACACAACATGCGTCTGTGCATGGCACATAATTACGCGATGCGTAGTTTATGCACACGGGGAGCTGGGTGACAAGACGTTTTTTGGGCAAGCTTCCGCTTCTTACTGTGTTCGAATGGACCCAGTGAGGCGAGGACCACATCCGCTTCGCCCTTAACCCATCAGCGACAGCCTTAAAGGGCGAAGCCTATATGAAATAGAACGTTGGTTACGTACTGTAACCCCAGATTCTATGAATATAGGCGTAGCCCTTTAAGCGTCGGGCCTCACTGGCTCCTAAATGGCTGAAGAAAAAAGCTATTTTGGGAGCCGATTTCCCGCTCTTAACGTAATTTATACGGACCGGGTGGGGCCCACACAGCAGGTGGGCGTGGACTAATTTTTTTCAGTGCTTATGCTCTGCATAACGGGATAAACCCATCAGCGACAGCCTTAAAGGGCTACGCCTATATTCATAGAATCTGGGGTTACAGTACGTAACCAACGTTTTATAACATTTGTTCATCTTCAGTTTTATGATTTTCTCTGTAATTAACTCGAGCTGAGTGATGGAGGACTTTAAGGCTTTGTCTCTGTGTCTGATTTAAGGTCAATAAGATTGTGTCCCGCCTCTTTTAACAAAACACCACCGACCTTATTACTGTGGAGATACTAAGAGTTCCTCAGCATGACCTCAGCAGAAGTAAGGAGGACCTTCAGGAGGATTAATCCTCACAAAGCAACCAGCCCAGACAACATCCCGGGGAAGGTGCTGAAAGAATGTGCCGATCAGCTCTGCGAGGTGCTGGCCGACATCTTTAACTCCTCACTCACCCTGGCAACAGTTCCCACCTGCCTGAAGACCACCACCATCATCCCAGTTCATAAAAGCTCTACAGTGACTGGTCTGAATAACTATCGACCAGTAGCCCTCACCCTGATAGTCGCTAAATGCTTCTAAAAACTGGTCATGACTCACATCAGAACAACCATCAACATCAACGAGGACCCTCATCAGTACTCATACCGTGAGAACTGATCAACAGAAGACACCATCTCCTCTGTGGTCCACACTGCTCTCACCCACCTGGAGCAGAAGGAATCTTAGTCCGTATGCTCTTTGTGGACTTCATGTCTGTCTTCAACACCATGATCCCCCAAACCCTAATGGACAAACTATTCACACTAGGACTAAGCCCCTCCATTTGTAACTGGGTCCTGGACTTCTTAACAAACAGACCACAGTCTTTGAAGATCCATAACTTCTCCTCCTCCACCATAACCCTCAGCACTGGTTCTCCTCAGGGATGTGTGTTGAGCCATTTCCTGTTTACTCTGCTCACGTATGATTGTGCAGCTACACATCCAGGCTGTCACATTGTAAAGTTTGCAGATGATACAGTGGAGGTGGGATGCATCACAAACAATGATGAGTCCAGCTGTAGGGAGGAGGTGGAACACCTGGAGAGCTGGTGCAGAGAGAATAACCTTCACATCAATGTGAAGAAGACGAAAGAGATGATTGTGGACTTAATAATAATAATAATGAATTTAATTTGTAATGCACTTTTCATTAACAAAAATCTCAAAGTGCTACAGAGTGCAACTAAAATCAAAGATAAAATCAACTAAAATCAAAGATACAATCATGTGGAGGCAGAATAGGCTTGCTTAAAAAGAAAAGTCTTTAAGCCTTTTTTAAAGTCAGTCAATGATTGTGGAGCTCTCAGATATTCAGGGAGGGAGTTCCAGAGGTGGGGGGCAGCCACACAGAATGCCCCATCTCCCATGGTCCTTAATTTAGTTCGTGGAAGGTGGAGGAGATGACTGTTCTGTGATCGTAGGGACCGGGTGGATGAATATGGAGCAAGAAGGTCCTTCAGATGATCTGGTGAATTTCCGTATAAACACTGATGGGTGATGAGAGCAATTTTGTACTGAATTCTGTAGGTGACAGGAAGCCAATGGAGGTTATGGAGAATGGGTGTAATATGTTCAAATTTACGAGCTCTCAATAAAATTCTGGCTGCACTGTTTTGAATATATTGAAGCTTCTGAAAGTTTTCCGGGAGTGGCAGTAGTCAAGCCTGGAGGAGACAAAAGCATGGACGAGTTTCTCTGCATCAGCAAAAGTGAGAGATGGGCGCAGTTTGGAGATATTTCGAAGATGGAAGAAACGGGTTTTAAACGGATGCTTAATGTGATTTTCAAATGTAAGATGAGAGTCCATTTTTATTCCAAGATTTGTAACAAAGGTGGAGAGGGGGGTGTCTCGTCTAGAAAATGAAATAGTCGTTATAGTTGAAGTTTGAACCTGGTGAGGGGTGCCAATCAGTATGGCCTCTGTTTTGGAGCAGTTTAACTGAAGAAAGTTCTGATTCATCCATGCCCTCATCTCCTCCAGGCAGGTAGAGAGGGCAGCGAGTGAAGATGGAGATGACAATGATGAAGATGATGCTCCAGTCCTGATGTAAAGCTGTGTATCGTCGGCATAACAGTGAAAAGAAATGTTGTACTGATGAATAATTTGACCTAAAGGCAGCATGTAAAGGGAAAATAGCAGGGGCCCTAGAACTGACCCTTGAGGGACACCACAGGAGACATAGACAGTCCGGGACTTGGCATTGCCAAGTCTAACTTCAGAAGGAACAAACACACCTACCCCCCCCCCCCCCCCCCCGAACATAAGAGGATCTGTGGTAGAAGTGGTCTCCAGCTACAAGTACTTGGGTGTGCACCTGAACAACACCACCAGCCTGATGAAGAAAGCTCATCAGACTCTACTTCCTCAGGCGGCTGAGACGAGCTGGTCTGGAAGCTCAGTCCTCACCTCCTTCTACAGGTGTGCAGTGGAGAGCATCCTGTGCTCCAGCATCAATGTGTGGCATGGAGGCTGCACAGCTGCAGAAAGAAAAGCTTTGCAGAGAGTGGTGAAGGCTGCACAGAAGATGTTGGAGTCAGTCTCCCCACCATCACAGACATCTACACCTCCAGATGCAGGAAGAGGACCACCTGCATCATGAAGGACCCCACTCACCCAGCGCACACACTTTTTGCCCCACTCCCCTCAGGAAGGAGGTTGAGGAGCATTAAGTGTAGAACCACTAGACTGAGGAACAGCTTCTACCCTGAGGCTGTTGGACTCATGAATCTCTAACCAGAATAATCACTGTGAAAAATCACATCATGTTGCTGCTGATCTGTTTCATGTTGATGTGTTCATGTGTGCTCATCTGCTCACACAGACTCATGTTCGTGCTGCTGTTCAGTGTATTGTTTTTATTACTGTTTTTCTTTTACATTTTATTGTGGGATGTAACTGGGACCCTGTGTACATAATTTTTTTCCACCACGTGGTGGAACGACAATAAATAAACTCTGACTCTGACTACACCTCAGAGCTTTTCTGGTTGTTCAAGGTTTCACTGTCTGAAGAGCCGAGTCAGTGAAGTAGCTAAATATGCTAGTAGATGTAATCTGCAGCAACTTCTTCAGCTCGTCCTCCATCCCTCGTCCTCAGCAGGCAGCGGTTTGAGCTCTGACAGGTGGTGTTCCTACATGTTTAAATTAAATCCACAATGCTCAGAGAAACTACATTAGCTCGTACTGTTAGCACAGAAACAAACGCTGGTTCTGTCCACGCAGGAAGTCGTGCCCATGATTCACACAAGGCAGCGTGGGAGCTGGGAATAAGGTGGATAGCTGCACCTGCTCTCTTGAGGTTCGTATGAATGATATTAAAATGTATTACAGTCAGTCTTGGTGTGACCGGTCAGTGAAGGGCAGCAGATCGTTTTTACTATCCTCGACGTCTGATTGGTGATTACAGTGACAGGAATTTAGAGGTCTTGGGAGCTGTCTGGCTCCGGACTCTTCTCTGGCCCGTCTGCAGATGGATTCTGATAACAGCTGGACAGGGCGGGAAGAGGCTGGAAGTTTCTACAAAACTGATGTTTTCAGTTCAGGAAGTCAGAACGAGTCAGAACCTCAGACAGGTGAAGACAACTATCTTCTGTGATTGCTGAACTTCTCCAAAGCTTTGTAATAAATCTGACAAACTTACACCTGGTTGTTTTGGGAATCCCTTTTTTCTACAATGTAATAAATAAAAATGAAACATGCATGAACCAAAGTGTGGGAGAAAACACAGGGGTCAACAGAACCGCTGTAGTCCTGACCTTCTTGATGAGGCTCTCTCTGTCTTCGGTCACAGCCTTGGCGACCATCTGCTCCTGGGCCAGCAGCTCCTCCAGGTCCAGCCGACGCTCGCGGAGCTGCAGAATGTATTCCAGTAGCTTCGGTTCACAGCCTGGGACATTCACACCAGGTCATAAAAAAGCTTTGTGACATTAAAAAACGCACGAGCCACGGTTAGCCTGAATGAGACAAAACGAGCTGAGAACAAGACAAGCTGTCACAATTTGAAATTTTTTACATATTTGATAAAGCAGTCAGTTTTTAACTCTTCAAGAAAACTTTTTATTGTCCAGCTGCTAATCCTCCACCACAGCAGTTTTTTTAAAACTGTCCTATCTGATACAATGTGCAGTAAATAAATAAATATAAACAATAAATATAGCCACAAGAGGGTTCTGCTGCTCGTAGCTAAATAACATTTTGATGCGATTTATTGTTTTTGCCCAGCTGCACTTTGTTTGAGGCTCCAGTTCTGGTTTGTTTCTGCCTGAAGAGTTTGGCCCTTCCCCCCACTCTTGAGAAAAGGGGGGAATTGCCACAGCAACCGGTGACTCAGCAGATCCCGAGTGACTGGATCTTAATTTACTTGTCTTTCATAGTCATCCCCAAAGATCCTGGAGAATTTGAACAATTTTGTCACAAGGAGAACTGAGTAAAAACTTCTGCAGAGTTTAGTATTTTTTTAAAAAAAGGGCGAACAGTAAGATGTTTTAACCTGGAGTTTCAAAATAAAGCCTGTGAATGCTTCAAAATAAAAGTCTGGCTCTTTAATAGCTTAGATTATTAAAAAAATAACTCCAGAATTATTATCAGGCTTTGGAGAATAAACTTTTTAATGCAAGTTTTAACATTTTTAACTTTATCATTTTATTTTGCCTTCTTGTGATTTAAATTTTTCTAAGTGAATAATCTGGAATCACATCTTGTTTCTTCTCATGTTTTACATTTAATATAATTCATTACTGTGACTGTGAAATAAATAAAATGATACTGGATCTCCTGCATTGCTGACCTTCTGGACAAACTGTTTCATCCACAGAGGCTCCTCTTTTGTCGCTGTCGTCCAAGTCGCTTTCTTCTTTGTTCTTGTTTTCTTCTTCTAAGAACAAATTTGGGTTAAAGTGAACACAACATCAGAAGACTGGCTGCATCATTTCCCTGATCTTCACCTGCCGCCTGTTCCTGCTCCTTCTTCTTCACTCGTTTGACTTTCTTCTTGAAGACTTTGGTCAGGAACTCTTTAAACAGGTTTTTTTCTCCGAGCGAAGCCTGGAAGGCGGCGGTCAGAGCTTCTTTTCTCTCCTCCAGTTTGGTTATTTCTTGTGTCTTCAGCTCCAGCAGCTCGTTACACTTTTCCAGCTTCGCCTGTCCAGAAACAGGAATAAATAAGGATGAACAGGCGCGTTCTGATCGGAGTTGATTCTGTTTACGTAAACAAGTCTTCACTTTGTTTTTTCTCTTTCGGCTGCTCCCTTTCTCGGGGGTCGCCACAGCGAGATGAATGCATGATGAATACAGACTTCAATATATTTGAAAAATAAAACAAATTCTGTGAAAGTCTGAAGTTACTTATACTTTTATTTATCATGAAGTATTTTTAAACCACGTCGATCGATATTGTAATTTAAATAAACTGTTTCAAACAAAAAGATAAACATTTTGTTTTGTCACCGATAAATTCTGACCCAAAGTCTCAGTCAGTCAGTCATTAATTCATTCAGTCAGTCAGTCAGCCGCTCAAGGCAAATGGCCGTCCATCCTAAGCCCGGTTCTGGTTCTGCTGGAAGGTTGTTCCTTCTCGCTGCCACCAACGAGCTGCTCGGGATGGGAGGTTGTGACTCAATCTGCTGCTTCCTGATTTTTAAAGTGACTGAATGTTTCTGTAGAGAGCCGGGTGTAGTATGTCAAACACGTACAGGTTGTACCAAATGTAGTAGGTCAACGGACAGCTTTGCTGTAGACACACTACTAATTAATTATTTACAAGGGGTTCTTTCTTTTTCGAGTTAAATTAATGCCATGTGACGAGATAACTGTGATGGATTGTTTAATCAGTGACATGAGACGTTATTTTCTTTGACCCATCAGAATAAATGCGGTCATTTATTTAACAGAATCAAAATTTAACATCAAAACATTGTACACTTGATTCGCTGATCTGGTTCTGATTAACAAAACTTGACACGCTTGACTAACAAGACAACAGAACATTTCTGAAGGCATCTAGATGGATTTACTGGCAAAATAGAAGAGTTTAAAGGAAGGAATGAAGGAAAGATGTAGGTTTTTGTTGACCAGAATTAGCACGCGTCTTTCAACACCAGCTCAAACCTCCGGTACACTTAGCGCGCAACGACTCAATACCTTCGCAGAAGATGAATCAGCTCCGGTACCGGGTCCATTTCAACGCTACCTTTCCAGCGTCTCCGGTTAAAGCGGCTGGTCATTGTCAGAAGTCGTGTCGATGTACTCCGTTCAACAAACAAGCTTCCTTCGAAGTTGTAGGCGTTACGCCCGGGTGGATTCACAGCAAGGCGCTGTGACACCGTCAGAGATCCCACTCAGAAATGGAATACCCCCAGACTCCATGAAAACTCCGGTCTGCGATTGCAGAGTCGAGAAGACTGAGTTCGACTCAGATCAAAGGACTCCAGTCCAAGACTGTTCCAAGCCTTAGAAGACTGAATAGTTCCAGGAAGTGTGGACTTTAAAGAGTTCTCACTTCCGGTCACTTAGTACTTCCGGATTGGTTGAAACAACCAACAGGGGGTGGTTCTAGTGATGTCAGAGGGTTATTAAAAGTCAAGAGAGGGTTCAGGAATGTTTAGGAACGTTTAGTACAGACAGAGAAATGTTTTGAAGAAGTGAGAGGAACGCAGATGCCAGTGGCAGTTATTTACCGTCTGCTAGGTTTAAAAACAATACAGTTCGTTCTAATAACTCGTTCTCTGACTGTCTCTGACTTTTGACCGACATCACTGACTTCTCATTCAGACAGAAGATCAAAATGCATAATTACTTTGTAAATAGACATTTAACTTCTAATTTAAATGAGGTTTAATCATTAATACTGTTTCACAGTTGATTTAAGTGAGTGGTTTACTTTCAACATTAGAAATGACATGAACTAAACACACTTTTGATTTATCAAGATATTGTAAAATAGTAATGATAATATAAAAAGAAGAGTGTTCTTTCAATTGATTACTTCAGGATACAATTAAACAGTCTCTGGATGAGCTAATTTGTATTTCTGGATTCAAATCAATGAAACAACAGTTCCTGTCCCATGAAGGTCCTCAGAGACAGGTTTTGGTCGGAGGCCTAGTTCACTACACGGGTCAGTTGTGATTTGGAGCTACATCAATAAAATGAACTGAGGTAAAAAGCTATCTGCAACAGGTAAGATAGTCGTTGTTTTGGAACCTTTCCACTGATCCCCACTTCATTCTCTGCAAGCCATAATCATTAAAATGACAAGAAATAAAGGCTGACATATTTCACTCTGTACTAAATCGATGAGTTTAACTTTCTGAAATTATTGACAAAAATATTGAACTTTTTCACGATATTCTAATTTTTTTTTAGATGCACCTGTTAAAGCAGGGCTATTCAACTGGCAGCCCAGGGGCCAAATCAGGCCCAAGGGTGAGCTCAGTTTGGCCCATCAATCATTTTTAAATAAAACTAGATTTAATCTCCTAAGACTCTGACTCTTGCATATGTGGATGCCAGGACCTAGGAGGTTAAAATCATAAATTTCATTCATTCAACCTTTATTTAAACAGATAAATCAAATTGAGCCTCAAAGACTCATTTACAAGTGAGACTTGTTTGGACAGACAAAAACAGTGGTTAAATGGAAACATAAAACAAACTTAATGAGAATAACTGCTGGATGGCCGACCCCTGAGCTCTTGACTTTCAGTTATTGTGGCCCCCTGAACAATTTAGTTGAAGAACCCTGCTTTAAAGGAAAAGTTTCATCCCTGACAGTCACAGCACAATGATTGTTTCCCCACACAGAGGCGGAGCTTGTGCAGAGGCTAAGTACCCTGATGTGTTAATCCACTTTCAAGTAAAATATCCAGAGCCTGTTTGGTCAAAACCTAAATTCCAACAAATGTACAGTTTTCTTAGAGCGCTGATGGTCTCCTCTGTACCGCTGATCGATCTACATGTTTTATATTTTTTATTTATGAGCTCATCACAAATTAAGCGTACACACCCAGCTGTGACTAAATGGCTCATTGTGTCACATTTTTAACCAATTATTGCTCCTGAAGAGTTACAAACCCCTGAATCTGACCCAATCAGAAGCCAGACAGAACTTCCTGTTTGTAACTGATGACTTGTGGGTAATGTTGTTTATGAGCTCTTACAGTCGTGACACTGAAATCTGAGCACGTTTATGAGAAGTGGTGGTACTGTGTACAGGTGAGTACTGGTCCACTTTGAGCACTGATTCTGAACTGAAGTTCTGATTTTTTTTTACCGTGATGCTCTTCTCCTCCCGAATGCATCCCTTCAGCTTCTTCTGCAGCTCCACGTCCCTTGACTGAAACTGCCTGAGCTGCAGCAACTCCCTGAAGATGGTGAGCACGTGCAGCTCCATCAGCTTCAACTGGTAGTCCAGACGGAGTTTTAGGCGGCACAGCTGCCGGAGATCAAAGTCAAACTGACAAATTGAGCTGTCCATCTAAAGAAAAAAAGAGCACAGAAGATGTTTAATTCATCCAAGTTCAGGTCTTTTATTGAACTGAAGATTACTTAAGACCTCCTGGAGCAGACACTTCTGTTCATGCAAGAGTCGGATCTCCTCTGCCCTCTTTAGCTCCTTCTCCAGCTCTGTCAACTCCACCTCCTCCTCCTCCTCTTTGGTTAGAGACGAAGCAGAAAGAATCTGGGCTTCCTCGTCTTTCTGCGCCTCTGCTTTCATCTCTTCCTCCAGCTGCTTCAGTATACTCACAGCGTCGTCCTCTTGCTTTGTGCTTAACCTGTTTTAAAACATTTTCCTTTTTTAATTCTACCATTTCAAAATGAAATTACAAAGTTCAAAAATTAAATTTAACATTATTGATGTTTTGATTTTTTTATTTCATTAAGAACTTCATAGCATAAGCATCTCCTCCAGCAGCTGTGAAAATACACCCAAAAATACATCAAAGCATGGGGGTTGACTCCTCCCCCATTAGACAGTATTTGGCTCCACCCTCTAGTCAGTTTTTGGCTTCAACCTTGGTTACCTCTTTGGCCCCGCCCTCTTGTTACCTCTAGGCCCCGCCCCTACTCCATACCTCTGCTGCCTGATTTCCCAGTATCGCTTTATCATGGCTGGACTGGGCTGCAGCCTCTTCTCGGGTGTTTCTTCAGGTAAGATGGTGAACAGGGTGGGCAGAGGGAGGCGATGACGAGCTGCGAGGCGCTGCTGGACCTCCTGCAGCCGCCGCCGCCGAGCAGTCAGCTGAGACAACAGCTGCACCTTAACGTCCCGCAGAGCTACGATCTGACTGTTCATCTCCTTCTGCTTTTCCTGGATCTGATCGGACAAAAGTTTCAATAAATTGGTCTCACGGATTTCAAAAGGTTTTACCGTTCAGGTCAAGAGCCTCTGGCTCGTTTGGTTTTGTACTTTGTGCTGCAGAGAGATCAGCTCGTCTTTCTTCTTATCTGAGTCCACTTCAGGCTTCCTCCTCCGGTCGGCATCTTCGATTTTCTGCTCGGCTTCACGGATGGCCTGAGCCAGTTGCGGGTCCTCGTAGTCGTCCGGTGGCTTCGCTGCGTAGCTGAAACACAAACAGTCGAAGTTTCATCGAGACAACCTCGACGTGATGTTCTGGTTCTGCAGGTGAGTTTTTATGGACTTCACTCACATTTGGGCCCACTCCAGCTTCCTCCTCTCAATTCTGGCCCGAGTTTTCTCTGCTTTCTCCGCTTTCTCCGCTTGCTTTCTGAGCATCATTCCCTGCCGAACCCCACGTTTGATCTGGGCCGGGCGGGCCATGGGGGGGCGTGGACGCACCTCCCCTGAAGGTGGGAATGGACGCACCTCCTCTGAAGGTTGGCGTGGACGCACCACCTCTGAAGGTGGGCGTGGACGCACCACCTCTGAAGGTTGGCGTGGACGCACCACCTCT